TTGTTGATCTTTTCAGAGAACCAGTTTTTGATTTCTTTGATTTTTCTCTTGTTTTCAATTTCATTGATTTCTGCTCTAATTTTTATTACTTCTGTTTGGATTTAATTTGCTTCTTCTAGTTTCATAAGGTGGTAGCTCAGATAATTGATTTTTAGATCATTCTTTTCTTTCTTTTTTGTTTTTTTGTTTCTTTTTTTTTGGTTTTTTTTTGTTTTTTTTTTTTTTTTGAGAGCGGGTCCTCGCTTTGTGCCAGGCTTGAAGTGGCAGGGCCAACACGTCTCGGCCAGCTGCAAAGCCTGCCTCCCTGGTCACGAACGCATTGTACTGCCTGCCTCAAAGCCTTCCGCCACCGAGTAATGGGACTACACGGCCACCCCGCCACCCGCGCGGCCCCGGGCCCTGATTTTTTTTTTTGTATTTTAGCTACGAGACCGCCGGGTTTCAGCTTGTGTGCCAGGATGGTCTTGAACTCCAGACCTCGTGATCCACCCACCTCAGCCCCCCAGAGTGATGGGATTACAGGCGTGAGCCACCACGCCTGGCCTAGATCATTCTTTTCTAATAAATGCATCAGTGTTGTATGTTTCTTTCTAAGTACTGCTTTCACTGTATCTGTATCCCACAAATTTGGATAAGTTGTGTTTTCATGATATTTTCACTTTATAATGGCATTAGCGGGACACAACCCAATAAGTAAGTTTAGGAGCGTCTGTATGCGTAAGCACAATTGTTGACATTATTTTGAACAAATTCTTATTTGTTAGATAATTAAGTATAAGAAAAATAAAAGGTTTTATTTTACTTTCAGTGTTTCCTTCTTTTGATGCTCTGTATATGTAGATTTCAGTTTAACTTTTGAGTAATAATCTCACAAGGTAGAGTGCTAGGTTTATGAATTTTTTCTCTCAACACTGTAAATATTTCACCCCACTCTTTTTCTTGTAGGAAGTCACATGTATTTTTTCTTTTTTTTCTTTTTTTCCTCTACGGGTAAAGTGATTTTTTTGCCTCTGGCTTACTTCAGATTTTTTTCTTATCCTTGAATTTCTGTAGTTAACAACGTTTTATGCCGAGATGTAGTTTTTTGGCATGTATTTTCCAGCTCAGAGATTCTTCATCCATGCCCAGCCTACTAATAAGCCCATCAAAGGCATTCTTCATTTCTCTTACAGTGTTCTGTTTTTTGTTTTTGTTTTTGTATTATCTCTAGCATTTCCTTTTGGTTCATTCTTAGGATTTTCATCTCTCCTTTTTCTTTTTCAACATGTTGTTTAGTCAATTCGTTAGGGCCCTTAGCATGTTAATCATGGTTGTTTTAGATTCCCAGTTTGATAATTCCAAATCCCTGCTGAATTTGGTCCTGATGCTTGTTTTTTACCTTTTATTATGCCCTGTAATTTTTTTATTGATAGCTTGGACACGATGTACTAGGTAAAAGGAACTGTTGTAAATGAACCTTTAGTAATGTGGTTGTAAGGTGTAGGAAGAGGAGAAGAGTTCTTTAGTCTTATGATTAGGTCAGTCTTTTAGTGAGCTTATGCCTCTGGACTGTGAACTTCACAAGTGTTTCTCAGTCCCACACCACCCCTCCATTCCCTTAGATAGAACAAGATAGCTCTAATGGCGTGGAGTTGGGTTATTTCTCTTCCCCCACATCATTTTGGCTTTGCTACAACATCAGCAGGTCAGGCTCTGGTTAGTTTCTCCTGAGGACAAACCTTGTTAAGACCAGAATACTGTGGTGTACTTGAAAATCGTTTCTCTTTGCCTTCCCTGCTGAGGGTTGAGAATTTTTCTCCTATATTTACTGTGAGAAGCTGGTCAATTGCCTGGATGTAAAACTTAGAAAATTGTAGGGATCCCCCTATAATTGGGTAACTGTGGAGTTTTTAGCTTTCGGAGTTGTCCACACTGAGCCTTCATCAGTTTGTCCATTACACTTCAGGATTTCCTACCCTGTGGAGGTTTCTGCTTGTGTTTTTCATCTCAGATAAATGGTGATGCTATGTGTTCACCTGTCCTTCGCTCTCACTTACAGGCAGTTATTTGCCCTGTGACCTCACTTATCCTATCTCAGATTTGATTGTTTTTCAGTTTGTCATTTTTTACCTGTTAGAATGGAGTGGTGACTTCCAAGCTCTTTATATGTGGAACTGGAGGTAGTTCTATTTTAAATTTTTTGAGGGACCTTCATGTTGTTTTCATAGTGCCTGGCACCATTTTACGTTTTCACCAATGGTGCGTAAGAGTTCCAGTTTCTCCATATCTTCACCAACACTTATTTTCTGTTTTTTTAATGGTGGTCATCCTAATGGTTTCAGATGGTATGTCATTACAGTTTAGATTCACATTTCCCTACTGATCAGTGATGTTGAGCATCTTTTCATGGGCTTATTGGCCATTTGTATACATTCTTTGGAAAAATGACTATTCAAGTCTTTTGTCCACTTTTTAACTAGATTTTTTTGTTGTTGAATTGTAGGAGTTACTTGTATATTCTGAATATTAACCAAATAACAGATACATGGTATGGAAATATTTTCTCCTGTTTTGTAGGTTGCCATTTTACTCTGTTTACTGTTTGCTTTGCGGAAATTTTTGAGTTTATGTATCCCCGGTTTGTCTATTTTTGCTTTGGTTGCTTGTGCTTTTGGTGATCTATTCAAGAAATCATTGCCAAGTCCAATGTCATGAAGCTTTTTCTCTATGTTTTCTTGTAGTAGTTTTGTAGTTTGATGTTTTAAGTTTAGGTCTGTAATCCATCTTGAGCTTATTTTTGTATATGGTGTAAGATAAGGCTCCAACTTCATTCTTTTGCATGTTAGATTCCAGATTTCCCAACACGGTTTGTTGAAGAACCTCTTTTCCCTATTTCTGTGTTCTCTCTTCTGCTCAGTTGGTCTGTATATCTGTCTTTATGCCAGCACCATAGTGTTTTGATTACTATAGCTTTGTAATATCTTTAGAAATCAGGGAATGGGAGGCCTCTAGCTTTGTTTTTTGTCCAGATTGTTACGGATATTCAGGGTCCTTCAAGATTCCGTAATAATTTTAAGATTTTTTTTTTCTATTTCTGTAGAAAATGCCATTGGGATTTTGATAGGGATTGCTTTGAATCTGCAGATTGCTTTCAGTAGTATTGCCATCTTAACAATACTAAATCTTCCAATTCATAAACTTGGATGTCTTTCCATTTATTTATATTATCTTCAATTTCTTTCAGCATTGTTGTATAATTTTTTTTTTTGGGGGGGTTGGGGAGAAGGGACAGAGTCTCACTCTGTCACCAGGCTGGAGTGGAGTGGCATGATCTCGGCTCACTGCAACCTCTGCCTCCCGGATTCAAGTGATACTCCTGCCTCAGCCTCCCGAGTTGCTGGGATTATAGGCGTGTGCCACCAAGCCCGGCTAATTTATTTTGTATTTTTAGTAGAGACAGGATTTCACCATGTTGGCCAGGATGGTCTTAATCTCTTGACCTTGTGATCCCCCCACCTTGGCCTCCCAAACTGCTGGGATTACAGGCGTGAGCCACTGCGCCTGGCCTATGTTGTATAATTTTCAATGTATGTGTCTTTCATTTCCTTGTTGAAAATATTCCCTAAGTATTTTACTCTTTGATTTCATTTTAAATGGATTTTAAAAATTAATTTCCTTTTTGGATTCTTCATTTTTAGTATTTAGAAACGCAACTCTTAATGTTGGTTTTTATATCCTGTAACTTTATTATTATATCCTGTAACTTTATTTTTATATCCTGTATCCTTTATTCTAACAGTTTTTTTTTCTTTTTGGTGGGCTAGAGTTTTCAACGTATAAGATCATGTCATTTGCTAACAGAAGTAATTTTACTTCTTACTTTTCTCATTTAATATCTTTTATTTCTTTTTCTTACCCAATTGCTGACTCTGGCAGGACTTCTGATAGTATGTTGAATAGAAGTGGTGAATGTGTGCATTCTTGTTCCGTTTGTGATCTTAGAGGGAAAACTTTCGGTTCTTCATCATTGAATAACATTAGCTTTGGTCTTTCTATATATGGCCTTCATTATTTTGAAGTAATTTCCATATCTTTCTAGCAAATTGAGTGTTTTTGTTTTTATTTTTGAGACAGAATCTTGCTCTTGTCACCCAGGCTGGAGTGCAATGATGCAATCTCAGCTCACTGCCAGCTCTGCCTCCCGGGTTCAAGTGATTCTCCTGCCTCAGTCTCCCGAGTAGCTGAGATTACAGGTGCCCACCACCGTGCGTAGCTAGCTTTTGTATTTTTAGTAGGGATGGGGTTTCACTGTGTGGCCAGGCTGGTCTCACACTCCTGACCTCAGGTGATCCGCCCACCTTGCCCTCCTAAAGTGCTGGGATTACAGGCATGAGCCACCATATCTGGCCTTTTTTTAAATCACAAAAGGATGTTCTTTTTAATGCATTGTTGAATTCTGTTTCTTGGTATTTTGTTGATTTTTTTTGCATCAGTATTTATTAGGGATTCTTTTTTCTTGTAGTAAATTTGTCTGATTTTGATATCTAAGTAATGCTTACTTAGCATTACTACGATTATCAAAATCATAATGATTTTGAAAGTGTTCTGTCCTCTTTAGTTTTTTCAAAGAGTAATGTTTGGTAGAGTTTTCAGTGAAGCCCTGGTATTGTTGGACAGTTACTGATTCAATCTCTGATAGTTATAGGTACATTCAGAAGTTGTATGTATTTGTGACTCAGTCTTGGTGGGATTGATGTGTCTATCCATTCTCAGAGGTTATCAAATTTGTTGGGGCATAGTTGTTCATATTAGTCTTTTATGGTCCTATTTATTTCTGTGGCAGCAGTTGTTGTATCTCCTTTCTAATTTCCAATTTTTGCTATTTGTGTCTATTCTCTTCATTTCTTAGTCTAAAAATTTGCCAATTTTGTTGATCTTTTCAATGAAACAGCTACTCCTAATTTTGTTGATTTTTTTTTATTGCAAAAATTTTCTATTTTTCTCTATTTTTTTTAATTTTAATTTTTTATTTCCTTTTTTTTTTTTTTTTTTTTTGGTAAGTTTGAGTCTAATTTGTTCTTCATTTCCTAATTCTATAAGATGTAAAGTTAATTTGTTGATTTGAGGTTTTTATTCCTAACTGTGAAATATGACACGTTAAAACAGATTTTCATTTTACAGATGAATTATATAAATATTTAGTTGTATAATTTTACTTTTTTTATCATATATCAAGCATTCTGGACATTGAGACTATAAAAATGAATAAAACAGTTCTTAAAGGTTAACCTATATTTCAAACACTTGAAAATACTGATTTGTTCATGAAAATCGTCTTGTTCTATATTTAATAGGTTTTTGTTTGGTTCATGGTACTAAAGAGTTCACAATTGTAGGTTTAGTCTTGAAATAATCTAAATTCATTTCATCCCATTGTAACAGACCCTACATCGTACTGAATATAGCTATGTCACAGATGTCTCTTACAATCTATTTCTACAAGGCCTAGAACTATTTAGGATACCATTGCTCACTCTTACAAATTTTTACATTAAAAATAACTTTGAGATGGAATGGAGTTTTGCAACATCCCAGAAAGAATAAAGAGGCTCCACTTACGAGAAATTACTAAGCAGTGTTTCTTAGCTTTATAGACTAATTATATAAGCCTTGAGTTGTTTCTATTTTATATCTGTTTTTTAGACTTCTCACATGTTCATTCTGCTGTACCTTCTGTAAATATAAAGGTCACTCTACTTATAGTCACGTTTTCCTTTTAATCTTTCCCTTTTTATTTTTTATTCTTTGCTTTACTCACCATCAGTTTTTATATTGCATCTCACAGTTCATATTTCTCTTTTGTCATTTCTGATTCTAATTGTAATTCTAATCTTATTTGTTCAGTGTTCACTGTCACCTCTTCACTTTCTGGCAGCTGTGTCTATGGCCTCATCTTCTTAGTGCTTGTCTTCATTGCTTATATTCCAATTGTCCTGTAAATTCATTTTTTTAGTGAACTAAGCCAGACACAGAAAGACAAATATCACATGTTCTCACTGATATGTGGGAACTAAAAAATGTTGAACACAGATTTTATAGCTGACACGCATATGCCTGTCACCTAGATTCTGCCATTAATATTTATATTGCTTTATCTTATAACCATCCTTGTATCATCAGTCCATCTTAATTTTTATGCCTTTCAAAGTTAATTGCTAACATCAGTACACAGCTCTCTAGGTGAAACCATTTTTAAACTGATTGCTGTCAAGTTGTCTAGGGTAAACTGACCTTCCAAATATGACTTATTCCATAGGACTTCTGTTTGTAGCACTGTCCCACTAATTCAGTCATAGAAATAAAAATTGGAAAGTATTGTCTGTTTGAAATGGATAAGTATTTTCATGTGTCTAACTTTACAAGACTTTTACTAGAAGGTCTCGCTTGACCTTCATTGCTGACTAAGAAAAGTTTGTTTTATTTTAAAAATCAACACATTATAACATACTTTTTTGAGTAAAAAGAAAAGTCAATGTAATGTGAAGAAATTATGGCAAGTGAAGCTACAGTTCCTCTTCCAGGAATTTTGATTATGAGCAGCTGATAAGGTGTTGCTAAAGGGACCTCATCAGGGAAATTCCTTTCTTTCCTTCTTTTTCTTTTGCATCCTCTCCTTTTCCTTACTTTCTTTTTCCCTCTTTCCCTCTCTCCCTCTTCTCCTCTTTTCTTTAATAATACTTGGGGAAAGGTACACCTTTTATTTTACTTATTTGCTGAGGGGAAAGAGAGAGTTAAGAGACGAAATGATTAGATGGCAGGGTCGCTGGAGGGCAGAGATAAATAACATCCTAAATTAAGGGTTGGCAAACATTTTCTTTAAAAGGCAGGTGGTATTTGTTTTAGGTTTTGCAGGCCTAGAATACTCAACTCTGCCATTGTAGTATGAAAAACAGCCATAAACTATATAGTATATTGTATTAGTCCATTTTCACACTGCTGATAAAGACATACCTGAGACTGGGGGAAAAAAAGAGGTTTAATTGGACTTACAGTTCCACATGGCTGGGAAGGCTTCAGAATCATGGCGAAGGTGACAGGCACTTCTTGCATGGCACTGACAAGAGAAAATGAGAAGGATGCAAAAGCGGAAACCCCCGATAAAGCCATCAGATCTCGTGAGACTTACTACCACAAGAACAGCATGTGGGAAACTGCCCCCATGATTCAAGTTATCTCCCACCCGGTCACTCCCACAACACATGAGAATTAAGGGAGTACAATTCAAGATGAGATTTGGGTGAGGACACAGAGCCAAAGCATATCATATATAGTATATTTATAAATAAATGAACTTGGGTATGTTCCAGTACACTTGATGGACACTGAAACTTGAATTTCATATAATTTTCACATCACAAAATACTCTTTTTTAAACTTTTTCCAGCCATTAAAAAATGTACAATATTCTAAGCTTGAGCGACATACAAAAATAGGTGATGAACTCGGTTTGACTCATGAGCTATGATTTGGTGAACCATATGGTACAAGGATTAACCTTGCACAGGAACTATACCAAAAAGTCGTTATTAGTGTATACTTTTCCAACATAGAGGCCCCTTTATGTGCTCTAAATTTTGTATGCCTTTTACATACCCTAAATTAGATAGTAATACAGATGAGGTCAGATAAATTAAGGTGTCATTGGAGTGAGGAAAAAAGAATGCTTAATATAGTTGATTCCACCATTAACATGATGAGACTGACTTCCTTTAGTCCTGTCTCATCAGTGTAGCTGCTGTTTGTTAACTTGGCACAGAAAGGCAGATCAAATACAGGGGTCTACTTTCATATCCTCCTTTTAATAGTTATTAAAAGCTCAAATTTAGTAGCTGAGTTCAGATATCTTATTAGATGTATGACTTATTGATGTAATTTCTCTGAGCATCAGCAGAATGAAGGTTTATAGTGCTAACTCATACACTTGTGAGGGTGATAACAATTACAACAATAATAGTAGTAGCTAACACTTTCATAGTGCTTACTATGTGCCAGGCAGTGTTCTGAGCACTTTACATATATTACCACATTTAATTTTCTCACAATTGATAATGTGAAGAATAATAATACTCTCATCATGAGAATGCTCGTAGATACTACCACTTAAATTATGAGGAAACTGACGTACAGAAAGGTCAGGTAACTCATTCAGGGTCACATAGTTAATTAAGAGGTAGAGCCATCATGTGAACTTGGGCATCTGGCCTCAGAATGCAAGCTCTTAACTGTTAAGGTTTATTCCCCTCTAACGTGAGAGTGTCTATAAAATGCATAGCACATAGGTCCTCAAAAAATTAGAGATAAATTAACTTTGCAGAATGTGGTGGTTCCATTTCCTCAAGAAACTTGGTCTACCTTTGTGGTACCAGATATATGCATAAATGTGAGGTTCACATTATGATTCTTCAGATTTTTTTTCCCAGTTGCACATTAGTTATGAGATTTTTTTCCCATAGAATTCTTCAGTATTACTCATGTTAAAAAATAATTGTTTGGAAATGAATCACCTTCTGCAAAACAGTATAGTCAAAATGACTTAGACTCTGAAGCTGAAAGACTCCTGGACTCCTGTTCTCGTCTTGGTTGTGTACTTTCTTTGAGATCTGGGTTTGGTGATTTGACTCCAGTTCTGTTTCTCTCTTTGGCTGTGGACTGAAGATAATCCTCAGTATCATGATACTCAAATGAGATAACCTATGTCAAAGTGCCCCGCAGTGTGTGTAATATGTTATCAGGCATCCAACAAATACTGGTTTCTTGTTCACCTCCCTATTACATAAAATAACTTAAAATTAGAACTGAAGGGACTCATAAAGCTGGGAAAACTGAGGCCCAGACAGTTATTTCCCTAGGATCCTACAGCTACTTAGGGACAGAAGGATGACACTTAATGCAGGTCTTCTGATTTTTCAGTCTCATTCTGTTTGTGCTGATCACTCTCCTACTATGTAGTATGTAAAGAAGTACTATGTATCTGACAGGTTTTGGGGAAGTTATTTTAGTATAAAAGCTCACATTAAAAATATCTATCTTAGTATTTTGACTTTATAATTTTTTTTAAAAAATCAGACACAATTTAATACATCTTGGGGCCATTCAAATCATGTATATGAAGTTTTAAAACTGTTGTTTTCCCCTTATAGTTACTAATTTTTAATATGCAAGTAGCATCCTTATTATGGAAAGAATAAATAAGAAATCAAAAGATGAAAGAAGTTTTAAAACTAATTTAATCACATCGTCCGGAGAAAATGCTATTAATGCTTTGAAATAACAATGGGTTCATCCTACACCTGCTACCTTGTAACTGGCTTTTGTCAGTTAGTGATATATCAAGAAGACTAGGCAGTTCCTTGTCAGATTCAATCTTGATAGTTTTTATTTTATTGTGTGACCTATTATCAGTTCATTTAAGTAATCTTTTATTAAACATGTTGATTTTATTCAGATATGGAAACTGCATTTTTGTAAAATTGTCAAATTGTTTTCCACAAGTAGGATCTCATTCATGTGGTATTCATGTTTTTAAGACTTTCGATACGTATTCACTATTTTCCTCCAGAAAGGAAATACCTGTTTACATTTTCACCAGGGAAGTCACTGTAGTTTGGGAGAACATGACATTATCTCCCTTTCTTTACTGAAGACTAACAATGTATGTTTTAAAGTTTCTGGATTCTCCATTCCCCTTTTATTTTTACATGTTTTCACTTTCATATTTTGCATAGTGATAAATCTGTGATAACAGTTTTTAATTTTCAGGTTGGGTTGTTTATAGCTTCATAGATAACAAAATGTCTCTAAGTCATGTTTATGCAATTTTTACGTGTGCTTTGTGGGTTTTCTTTTTTCTCTGTTTGCATGCAGTGAGTGGTAAATTTGCATGGAACATTTGAAAAAATATAAGCACCAGAATGAATTGAATCTGTGTGAATTATCACTTTTTGTCACCTACCTGCATAGTTTAGACAGTCAAAGTCTGTCTTTTGAGACAAAATTGGATCTCATTTGTCTCTTCACTTACTTGCTGTCTTGTTACTGAGTTTCTCATGATTAGCAAGATGTAAATTCTCTGCCATTGATCATTTAGTCCTACATGTTAGTAAGATAATTCTGTGAATGTTTTGAAAATTAGCTGAATTATTTTTCTTATAATTTTGATTCTTCGTAGTTTTTATTTCCATACTTGTGAATTTGGGACCAAAAGGAATAGCTATGACTTACGTTTCTTTGGATCCAGTAGTTTATTCTACTGAAATTATGGTGTTCTCATCATCAGTTAGTAGAAGTACAGACTCTTTAGTGTTGAATATAGAGATAATGTCATCTAACTTCTTACTTGATCACATAATTCCTTCCTCAGTTTTGGTAGCTCTCTTGTAACAGCTGAAATACGACATTAATCTGTGTACTTTAAGTTCACAGAGTAAAAGGAATATAAGATTTTGCATGACGCAACTTAAAATATTCCATCTTGTAATGTGGAACTAAGGAGGAGGTTTAGTGACAAGTTTTAGATTTAAGATTGTATACTTTGGAGCCTCTTTTTCTTTTTTATTTTCCTTTTTTTTTTTTTTTGAGACAAAGTCTAGCTCTTGCCCAGGCTGGAGTGCAGTGGTAGAATTTCGGCTTATGGCAGCCTTGACTTTCAGGCTCAAGTGATCCTCTCACCTCAGCCTCCCAAGTAGCTGGGACTACAGTGCATGCCACCACACCTGGCTAATTAAAAAAAAAATAACACTTTGTAGAGAGTAGCCTCACTAGGTTGCGCAAGCTGGTGTTGACCTCCTGGGCTCAAGTAGTCTGCGTGCCTCAGCCTCCCACAGTTATGGGATTGATTACAGTCATGATCTGCCTCACTCAGGCTGCAGCCACTTTCTTTCAGTGTAACACTAGCTTTGGATATTCCACTTACAAATTTATTTTTAAGTCTCCCATGTGGTTGATAATTGGGAAAAATAGTTTTTATTCCAGATAGATATTCTGTGTTAACTGTAAGTCAAATGTTTACAAACTGTTAAAAATGAAATAGTGATTATGTAAAGGAAAACTGGATTTTCCTAATGCTAATTTTTAAAATGATAGAATCCTAAAACTCTTAGCTGTAAACCTGGTGATTTTTCAGCTGTTGTACTAAACAACTTAAGCACATATACCATCAGACAAGCCCCCCTCCCCCCTTTTAAACCAAAGGAGTGTATACTCTGTTAATGCAGTCAGTAAGCATTGACATTCTTTATCATAGTATCCTAGAAAATATTTATTAGCTATTTCACTAGTCAGGGGTTGTTGGTAAATAGTGCATCTCCATTTTCTACTTCTCATCTTCGTACACAGGTTAATCACTTCAGTGCTTGACTAACTTTTGCCTTGATGATCTGTTGAGCTTTGTACATGACAGCTATACTAATCACTGTGCTTATTGTTTGACTGTTTGGTACAGGAAGCGAGCAGCTGCAAAGCATCTAATAGAACGCTACTACCACCAGTTAACTGAGGGCTGTGGAAATGAAGCCTGCACGAATGAGTTTTGTGCTTCCTGTCCAACTTTTCTTCGTATGGATAATAATGCAGCAGCTATTAAAGCCCTCGAGCTTTATAAGATTAATGCAAAACTCTGTGATCCTCATCCCTCCAAGAAAGGAGCAAGCTCAGCTTACCTTGAGAACTCGAAAGGTGCCCCCAACAACTCCTGCTCTGAGATAAAAATGAACAAGAAAGGCACTAGAATTGATTTTAAAGGTAAGATGTTTTATTTTTAATTGAGCATTGTTGGCTGAAAACCATGTGGGAGATTTAAATGTATGAGTTTTTATTTGTTTTTTCTTATGTGACATTAAGACATTTTGATACCGTAGAACCAATTTTTTGTTTTGGTAAAGGACAGGAATAATAACTACATTTTACAGGTTTAATCGTTGCTAATTAGAAGCAGATCATATGCCAAAAGTTCATTTGTTAATAGATGGATTTGAACTTTTTAAAATTCTTAGGAAAAAAAGTATTAATTGATAGTTAATCTCCAAAACTAGGCCACAACATCTATTTAAGTTATAGAATAACTGGACTCAGTATCTGGCATGAGTTCTGGAACCTCAGGATGATGTGATGAAAGAAGTAGGAAGAGGAAGCAGTGGGTTTTTTCCATTTTTGAAGGCAAGACAAAATTTTGTGATAGTTATGTGAGAATTCTACATTTCCTTCAAATATATGCTTCTCACTCTCCTCACAAACATTTGGTACAGTCATGCTGCCAAGGGTGGTGACCTACCAATGACAATCTTCACTCAGGTCTTTTGTTTTTTAAATGGTCCTGTGTCCAAAATTCAGGATTCGATTACCTTGTCGCTAATACTAAAACTCCAAGTTATTTTCCTCAGTGAATGTAATTAGTAACACGGTAATCAAATTTTTGAATGACTGCCAGGGCTTAGCGCCCCTGCACCCCCACCCCCATACACACGCAGAGGCAATTGTATTTTAAGAGAGAAAGCTTTTTGTTTATGACATGTAAGTGACAGAATTTTAGAGGCATTTGCCTCTAAAACTTTCAGTAACATCATCTGAATCAAGTTTGAAAGAATTAGTGAAGTGGCATTGTGTTATAACCTCTACTGTTTCCACAATAGAATTATTTTCGTCACTTTACACAACTTTGTTGCTTCAGAGTGTATAGTTCTGTTTCAGGAATTAGCTCACACACTGTGGAAAAATAGGTAAATGTCTATATATATAGTGTGTCAGTATAATGTGGAAGCTGCATTGACTTTATTGTACACAGTTCTCCAGTAAGTGTGCGCCACAGAGTACCAGTAACTGAATGCAGAGTGCTGGCACAGTGGAATGCAGCCAGCTGGGGGGGGTGTGATACATGAGGAATGTACTCATCTGCTCTTTTGGCCACATGCTCCATCTTAGAGATGCTTATTGTGTGGCTTTATCCAGTCTTTATGCCCCCACTTCTTTTTGCTGAAGTCTGCATTAGTTAGCAGTTTTGACCTTTCCTTTTTCCTGCTTTCTAATCTGCTACTGGTACTATTCCCTGTTCTTTACTGTTTTGTTTTTGTTTTTGTTTTTGCAGTGTTTTACAGTTACTATCATATATTAGAAATTAGAAATGCTTTCTCTGCACTAGTACTCTTATTTTGATTATTAATTATGTTTATTAACACTAATCACAAAGTTGCGTAAGTATTAAGTAGTCTGCACCAAACTCTTGTTGTGTAAAAGGTTTTTAAGTGCAGAATTTAAAAGATTGAGTATTTTCAGGGACACATTTATCACAAGAAATCTTACAAAAAATGTCTTATTTAATATATTCTCAGTAGAACACCTCTATCAGTAAACCAAACTTTATGAATGTTCATATCTAATTACAGTGTTTTTTGACTAATTTTTATCTATATATCTGAAAAATTCAGTTTAACATATTAAACACTACAGGCCAGGCATGGTGGCTCATGCCTGTAATCCCAGCACTTTGGGAGGCCAAGGCGGGCGAATCACGAGGTCAAGAGATCGAGACCAGCCCAGTCAACATGGTGAAACCCCGTGTCTAGTAAAAATACAAAAAAATTAGCCGGCTGTGGTGGTGTGCACCTGTAGTCCCAGCTTCTCGGGAGGCTGAGGTAGGAGAATCGCTTGAATCCAGGAGGCAGAGGTTGCAGTGAGCCGAGATCGTGCCACTCCAGTCTAGCCTGGCGACAGAGCGAGACTCCATCTCAAACAACAACAGCAACCACAACAAAAAACATTACATGGAAATAGTATAGGTACATTCTATATAGGATTAGTAGACTGTCAGAATCACTTGAAGATGTTCCGAAAGCATAACATATCAACAAAGGACATGTGAGTCTAGACTCGTGATCCCTAGGACAGGCCATATTACTGCATGCAAAGCAAGTCTTTGTTAAGCTTATGACTTGCTCAGGAAGCAAAGTATTTTATGTCTTAATTTTCTGTTACATTTTGGGAAATTAGATAGGGGTTTTGCATTGTCTTGTAAGAAGGTATTATAAAAATTTTCAATGAAAATAATGAGAAATAGACTTCCAGTGGTTTTACGCTTTTGGGGAAAAGGTTACTGATGTTTAGCAAAAGATGCTTATATATTCTTAATAGAACAAACCTGAGAATTAGTTCTTAAAGAGTTAAGGCCCATAAAAGAAACTGCAAGTGTTGACACTCTTGTAGCTTGGCCACAGATCAGATCCTTAGTATGATAAAATTTGGTATTTTTGTGGTTCAATTTTTGGAGACCATTCAATGATCACTTACATTTTATATTGTCTTTCATTGTGAAACAGATATATTATAGCAGAGGTGGGGGTCATTAAAAATTCTACATGTTGTATAGTACATGTATAAGGGTATGTTTGGCACAATGGAGGTAGGATTATGTGCCTCTAAAATTAACCCCTTAAGTAGTTAATCTGATGATGATAAGTATGTCACTTTATTGATGAAAGGGAGAATTAAGACTATTCTCAGTATTATGTTGGTCAGTACACAAAATATATCATTTGTTTTTACCTGTAAAATAAAATATCTTTCATCCTGTTAGCCAGAAGGGGGAAAGCATTGGCCTGAAAATAACACTTATCTCAAAAAGTTGGGAAATGTGGTCCAACTCTGTGCCCAGGAAAAGAGGAAATAGATTTTGATGACTACATAGTCTCTGCACTGCTTGCCAGCTCATAAGTTGCCTTCTTCGCACTGTTTGTTTTCATTGCTCAAAAACTATTTTCTGTCACTCTATGAGACTTAGTCTAACCTGATTGCTGGCTGCAGAAAGCAGTTTCTGCTCAAGAGCTGTTGAGAAATGGTATATTCTTCTCAATCACTCACAGAATGACTACCCTAGAACAAACTAGGAAGACCCCAAAATGAACCAGTTTTCTTTTAATACATACATAGATGCTGAAGGAACCTTTCTTTTAAGACTTTGCCTTCTCAGTCTTTTGAGAACGGAGTACTGAAACAAGAAAACTCTCAGAAGATTAGTAGTATTTCTGTTCTACAGTGAGGTTTTAAGAGCTGTATTATGATTAATCAGTATATGACATATTGGTTCATATTTATAAATAAAGCTATACATTAATAGATATCTTGATTATAAAGAAAGTTTAAACTCTCCTGATCTCATTAAGAGTTATGCATTGTTGAAAGCATGTAAAAGCATGGGTCAGGTCATTGGTGTAGGTAGTTCATTGAAAAAACTAGGTAAGCATTGAATTTTGTTTGCTGAATCTAAGTATTAGATACTTTTAGAGTTGTATAAATGATGTTGAGACTACAATGTTTGGCTGTTTTACTTTTATTAGAACTTTTTGCAACAGGGTAAACATGCATATTATGAAAATAAATGTTCTCTTTTTTCCTCTGATTTTCTAGATGTGACTTACTTAACAGAAGAGAAGGTATATGAAATTCTTGAATTATGTAGAGAAAGAGAGGATTATTCCCCTTTAATTCGTGTTATTGGAAGAGTTTTTTCTAGTGCTGAGGCATTGGTACAGAGCTTCCGGAAAGTTAAACAACACACCAAGGAAGAACTGAAATCTCTTCAAGCAAAAGATGAAGACAAGGATGAAGATGAAAAGGAAAAAGCTGCATGTTCTGCTGCTGCTATGGAAGAAGACTCAGAAGCATCTTCCTCAAGGATAGGTGATAGCTCACAGGGAGACAACAATTTGCAAAAAGTAGGCCCTGATGATGTGTCTGTGGATATTGATGCCATTAGAAGGGTCTACACCAGATTGCTGTCTAATGAAAAAATTGAAACTGCCTTTCTCAATGCACTTGTATATTTGTCACCTAACGTGGAATGTGACTTGACGTATCACAATGTATACTCTCGAGATCCTAATTATCTGAATTTGTTCATTATCGTAATGGAGAATAGAAATCTCCACAGTCCTGAATATCTGGAAATGGCTTTGCCATTATTTTGCAAAGCAATGAGCAAGCTACCCCTTGCAGCCCAAGGAAAACTGATCAGACTGTGGTCTAAATACAATGCAGACCAGATTCGGAGAATGATGGAGACATTTCAGCAACTTATTACTTACAAAGTCATAAGCAATGAATTTAACAGTCGAAATCTAGTGAACGATGATGATGCCATTGTTGCTGCTTCGAAGTGCTTGAAAATGGTTTACTATGCAAATGTAGTAGGAGGGGAAGTGGACACAAATCACAATGAAGAAGATGATGAAGAGCCCATCCCTGAATCCAGTGAGCTGACACTTCAGGAGCTTTTGGGAGAAGAAAGAAGAAACAAGAAAGGTCCTCGAGTGGACCCCCTGGAAACTGAACTTGGTGTTAAAACCCTGGATTGTCGAAAACCACTTATCCCTTTTGAAGAGTTTATTAATGAACCACTGAATGAGGTTCTAGAAATGGATAAAGATTATACTTTTTTCAAAGTAGAAACAGAGAACAAATTCTCTTTTATGACATGTCCCTTTATATTAAATGCTGTCACAAAGAATTTGGGATTATATTATGACAATAGAATTCGCATGTACAGTGAACGAAGAATCACTGTTCTCTACAGCTTAGTTCAAGGACAGCAGTTGAATCCATATTTGAGACTCAAAGTTAGACGTGACCATATCATAGATGATGCACTTGTCCGGGTAAGTTGGGCTGCTAGATTAAAAACCTAATAATGGGGATATCATGATACAGTTCAGTGAATTCATTTTAAAAGTGACTGAAACAAATGATACCATATAGCATAGGAACACATGGACATTTCTGATCTTAGATATAAGTATTATACTTTGTTGTTCCTGTCCAAGTTTATAGATGTTTTCTACAAAGTATCGGTTGTATTATATAATGCTCACTCTATCTTTGAAAGAGAGTGGATTTTCTAAATCTTGAATACTAGATCCAAAGTTTCTTTCATTCAGAAGGGAATAGAGTGTTGGGCAAAGACCAGAACAAGAGAAATGTGGAGATACCCAGTAATAAGTGTGGATGTGAAGTCTTGAACTGGGAGAAATGGTACAGTAAAACTATACCATAAAATTATAGGTAGTGTCCCAAAAATTCCATCATGTAAAATTCAGAGTTGTTTTATTGTGAACTTGATGAAGTGACCATGGCAGACCAGTGCCTGTTGCCAGTAAGAGTTGAGTCCCGCTGGGCCACTTAGAATATCCCTGTATGGACGGCACTGCCTGGCTGTGGTAGTTTCTTCCCACTTAAAAATTCATAGAGACAACTCTGGGTCTTGGAACTTCTGGAAAACAGCAGCTATTCCAAAAATTTGGGGATTCGTGGTGGTGCCTGTAACATCAAGTGCGGGGAGATCGAGCAGGGAAATACTGGAAACTCAGGTACTCGTCTTAACTTCCTGGTTTTCCAGATGGGGTTGCCATTTGTTGCTTTGCTTTTCTCCACAAAAGATTATTTTTAGTGTATCTATTTAAGAATATAAGAGTGGCCAGAAGACAGAAACCAATTGTCAGTCACATTTTACCAGAATTTACATTTGTCACAGGTGTATTGTCTCAGAGTTTTATTGTATTTCTAGTATTAGGTATCCCTGTCATTGCTGCTTTTTTATCATCTTCAAGTAAAATTTAATGTCAACCAAAATTAAGGTAGTTAATACTACTATAGTATACTAGTAGAGAAAGTTGTCTGACACAACTAGGAAATGTGATTTTTACTTTAAAATGTATTTTAGTTTTAGAATGTCTAAATTTTAGTTTTAGAATGTCTAAATTTGAGAATTCATAAAACTATAGCCCAGTGGAAAAAGTTATTTGACATCTCAGAAATTACAAATTGCAGAGATTTTGTGTGTTTTTTTCTTTGTTACTGTTTTTGTTGTTTTTAATGTCAGATATGTTTATAGTGGTGGAGAAAGATTCTGCATTATTTAAGCAACTCGGGTGGTTTTCTAGCAGAGACAAAAGGGGGCTTTAACTGCCTGAAGTCATTATTATTGCTTGCTTTCTGGTACCCTTTTTATTTCACTTACATAGTTTTGAGACACATGAATAATTAATACACTTAACGACTGATCATAAGGCAGCCAGCACCTTGCTTTACATAGTTTAGCAGAATGATAGGGTATTTTATAAGAATGTGAGTGATGTTTTATGAAAGGCATGTTGAGGTCTGTCTATGACTATCCATTGTTGGAGCAGAACTGCAAATGCTGAAGCTACATACTTTATGTTTGGCTTCTTGAGGTGAGATCCCTTCTGCTGTCTTCATCAAAAGCTATGTCTAGCCTTTAAAAGCAATGAAATTACACTGTAAGATTCATTCCAGGGTTCAAAAAATTGTCTACCTTCCTTATCTGTCTTTTGCTCAGAAGTCTACTCAGTCTTATTTTCCTCAGTCCCCCTGTTTTTTTCGCTAGTAAAGCAAGCCTAACAAACAACAAAAGTTTAAGTACTTGGTGTATACTTTATTCTGTTTCTTAAATTCTATTCTAGAATTTTAAGGAAACAACCGCTTTTAAAGCCTTCTCAGGTGTTAGTGTAAAATTAACTGTGAGCTCTTTAATTATGGTAACTTTTTTTTTTTAGCAAGTTCTGCTTAATTATATCAAAACTAGATAATATGGTGTGGCCTATTATAAATCAGGATTCACTAGATAGTATATGTACTTGAATATTGCCTGCCCACAAAAGCAGTTCACTTCAGAAATCATGTGTGTTAGGCAGTTTAATAAACTGTTAAAGTAGAAAGAGATGATGCTCACTGAGAAGCTTCTTAGGGACTAAATGCTCCCACTAAGCAGATTTTACTCTTAACTAACTTTCTCCCTTGCTTTCTCTTCCTTTTCTTTCTTTCTTTTTTTTTTTTTTTAAAAAAATAACAGAATGTGAAAACACTGGAAAAACCAGCATCAAAATAGGTCTTAGAAGTAAAATTGATAACCTGCGTAATTTTTTGAACTAAGTATTCACAGCAGGTGATGATTATGATAAAGCCACATATTTTAGTAACACATAGTAGAAGGTCTATAGTAGAAAGTGGTTTAAGATTATTCTCTCATATGAAAGCTCAAAAGTAGTGATGAGTTTTTCAAGACCTTATTTCCCAAGGATCTCTGCTTTTTAAGCTTCATTCTTATATATCACAGTGAACAAACTATTGGCCACTTTTTTATGACTTGCTAATTTTGGAACTGTATAGCAGCGTTGGGTAGAAAAGAAGAAATGAGAAACTTTGTGGTAAGCTTAATACTGATAAATAAAATTATGGGATCTTAGGCTTTAAGAGCTGAAAGAAGAGTTCACTCCTTAGTTTAGAAATCAAGCCCAGAAAATAGTGACTTCATATATGAGACTCTTGTATGTTTTCTGTTGAGGAGTGGTAACTTGAATTAATAATTACGGATTTTTTTAAAAAAGAAAAATATATTCATTGCTTTTGTATATTGTGATATTCAAACCAGACTAGCAGCTTTTTTCCTGAGGTTTTTAGAGAAATTGTCTTTGATGACAAGAGAAGAATTCATGTTTGTAGTATTTTAATCTCTGATTGTAGAAAACACTATAATTTTATTACTGCTAAGACAGAAAAATACCAGCAATTCATTGTAAGATGCTGTCATTTGTATGGTATAATCTGATTTCACAGATAATGTGAAAAAAGAAAAGTGAATTTTAGAATCAATAGAATATAAATTGTCTCTTCACAAACACTTTAGAACTGCCTAAGAACACCCCCACCCTAACCCTGTTTAGCTTACTGCCATAGTTCCCCTAGGACTTACTTTCAGTATTTTTTGTTATTGTTCCTTAGAAAACAGTACAGTGATAAACATGAGCTTAGACTTCACCTTTCATTGAATGAAGACACTCCTAAATGTGATGAGGTTTTTACATATTTACCCATTTGCGTGTTCTTTTACAAGTAGATAATTTCTCATTTTTCTTAGATGAAGCACTTCCAAGGATAGTATGTATTAAGATTTTTAAAATTACTTCTTAAAGGAGAAGATAGAGGTTATAAGTTTATGGAAGAACATAGTATTGCCATCATGAGGTCTCCCAAACTGCCTTCACATCTGAATGCGAAAATTGTTCTAAAAAAAAAAATCCAGGGCCCTATCCTTTAAGAGGTTTAGATTAGAAGCTGTATTGTAGAGCCTATGAATCTGTATTTCTGGTAATACTCCACAGATATTTTGATAAAGCCAGACTCCAATATTTGGGAAGGTGGCTTTTGGTACATCTTGGGTTGGGGTGTTTGTGCATGTATGTTTATGTATGTATGTATGTGAGCATACATAGAGAAAGGAAGGCCATTTTGATATACAAGTATGTTTGTGTCTTTCGGAAACTCTGATTTTTAAGAGGATCATGGGGGCAGCAAGCTTGGAATAGAGGATGATGGTGGTGTGAAACTTGGTTCCAATTAGTCAGGGAGTTCTAGAATTTCACATAAATACCTAAAAACCAAAAGGAATGGCTGAGATGTGGAATTGAATAGGGAAGTTCAAAAATAGGAATTAGCACAAATAAAGGTGATTGGCACAAATAAAAAGCCCCACTACCAGGAGGTTCTGCAAAATCCCCTCTGAAAGTCACTGGCCCTTTTCATCTGGTTTCTAATAGCCCAGTCTAACCCAGCTTCCAGCATTTTCAGCTCCCAGCTTCCAGCGTTGGTGAACACTCTTATTATTGAAACACGAACTTAATTCTTTTATTCATTCATTGACTCACAGAGCTTTAAAAATAAGATTATTCTGTGCTGCTCTAGGTATATTTAATTTTATCTTACACATACAGTATATTGTGGTTAACATGTAATTTCCATTGTTCTTGTGATTTATTCTAATTGAAATAAAAAATGAAACCAAGAAATATTCTTAGTTTATGCCCTCAAAGTAATTTCTCAGAAACTGAATGAGAGAATGAAGCCTATATATACATAGATCCTCAGCATTATATAATAATTTAAGACAATGAAACATCAAACTTCTTAGTATTACATGTGAGGAAAATGAAATCTAAAAGAGATTCTAGCCTACATAAATTAATGGCAGAATTGGAAGTAGAAGTCAGGATTCCAGGTCTCATGGACATATGTGATTATGTGATTTGGTATTACCCAAACATTTAAACTACATTTGAGATGTAACAGACTTTTCTTCATGTGTTTATAGTGAACATGAAAAAATTAATCTGGATAACCTAGAAATCTCAGGCAATAGTTTAAGCCTCAAGTTGACTGAAGTAGTTGAAGCTAGCCTTTCTTAGAAATCCCAGGCATTCTTAAGTGTTAGAGGTCTCTCTTATCTGAGTATTGCTTCTACTTAAATATTCATGCTATTAAAGATTTTTTTTAAAAAAAATTATGAATGGGTTTGATGTAATAGCTCAGGAAACTAAGATTTTAAGTGAGGAGGTTTTCCTTTTGATTCCTGTAAGTCTAGTAATACCATATTTTGATATTAAGATGTCATCCTGCTAGGTATTCTGCAAATACTTTGATATCAGGTCAGATTTTTTAAAAAAATGAACACCCTAGGATTTCTTCATCATGGCCAATTAAAAAGTTCAGAAATTAAAAATCATTTTATCCAGCAATTGATGAAGTCAGGCGTCCTAAAGAAGAGGAAGTTCCGCAGTGAAGAGGTAGCTATGATTATATCCAGGAGGTTTTTGTTTATTTTTGCCCAGTAATCTCTGTCTCTTGCTAGTGTCCATATTAAATAAATACAACATACGCTGTACTTTTAAAAATACCTAAAAATTCACATCTGTATACCAAATAAATTCAGGCATGCATGCACATTCTCCTTTTTAGAATGTTTTGACATAGTCTTCCAAATTTCAAATATTCTAATGCATTTAAAACAACTTCTGACTTACAGTTTTATGGTGAAGTTTGTGTTTAAACAACAACATACAGTTTTAAATAGCATAACTGTTAGGGAAAGAATACACCTTTACGGTTTATATTTGTTAAATCTTTTTTAAATTGAACAATGGATGGAGGTTATTTTTAAGAAAAAGAATTATCAGTACAGCTATTTATGTAATAATGGCCTTTATCAAAATGGTTATTGCTAAATTTTATGTGTTAATTAAAATAAAATAGTTTTAAGGGCTATTTATGTATTCTGTTTTTACTATTTTATTTTTTGAGACGGGGTCTTAACTCTGTCATCCAGGCTGGAGTACAGTGGCGCGATCTCGGCTGACTGCAGCCTTGACCCTCCCACCTCAGCCTCCCGAGTAGCCGGGATGACAGGCGCATGCCACCACTCCCCACTAATTTTTTTTTTTTTTTTTTTGAGTTTTTTGTGGAAACAAGGTTTCGTCATGTTGCCCAGGCTGGTCTCAAACTGCTGGGCTCACGCAATCTGCCTGCTTTGGTCTCCCAAAGTGGTGGAATTACAGGTGTGAGCCACGGCACCCAGCCTTTATTTTTAAGTGGCACAGTATTTTATGAAATCACTTATGTGTAGCAGAATGGTAATCTAAAATAGGTAATAACAAAATTTTTGTCTACAGAATTCAGTTACCAACTACTTTTCAAATTACTCTCTTTACATATTTATATTCGAACATATTCTGACTCTGAAAAATGTATTTGTTGTAAAAAATGGAAAAATATAGAAAAGAATAAGGAAAATAAAAATCACTCATAATCCTAAAAAAAAATTATTGGTCATCATTGAAGAGAGTTTTAGAACCAATAAAATAACAGCAACAACAGCTAGTACTTTTAAACACTAACTTTATGCAGGGAATCTAAGCAGTTCATACAGTAATTTGTTGCTATAGTATTATGCTTATTTTACAGATGAAATAGGTAAAGTTGTATGTTTACATTTACAACAGAACATATTGCATTGCATTACATTCTTTTGGCACCAAGGTGGAGAGCATAGAATAGAGATCAGTGGAAGTGGACAGGCATGTAACATCTTATGGATAATAAAGATAAATTTGCTTCAGTTGTCATTTGACATGTCTTAGGTAGAGCTGAGACTAGGTAGAACACAGGGCCTCTCAATCCTGTAGAAATTCTCCACCACATCCTTTAAAAAGTTTTACATTGATGATGAGGAGTCAGCTCTCATCTATGAATGTTAGTGGGGAAAAGCTGTAGAATGCATAGTCTAAATACCAGATAATCTTTTTTTTTTCCCCCACTTTGGAATACATTATATTTGATAAAAGCAAGTATACCTTTGGATGTAAAGGTACATATAAACACTGACTTACATCTTTAACACTAGCCAGTTGGGAACTGGCATAAGGAAACTCAGAATGGATTACATGGCAATATGGAATGTTGGCCTGGTCCCACATTTGAGCTAAGATGTTAATTCTAATTTTAGTCTCCTCAGAATTCTATATACTCCGTAGCTTGAAACAGGTTTCCAACTGGAACTATTTTTTTTTTTCCCCAAGGTTATTTTCACATCTACATTTGTTTGACTCTAGATCTTGGAACTAGTCTATATCAAGTTCCTTTGGGGACACAAAATTGCAAATCTTTTGTTCAAAGAGCAAAATTGTTTTAAAAGGTAACACTCTTTCTCATATATTCTTAATAAGCCTTCACAACTTATAGTATGTTGAGGAAACTGAGGCTTAATTGAATCGCTTGCTAAAGTTTAAAGGTTAAAAGTTATGGTAAGTGAGAGGTGGGACTAGTAAGGTGTATTTTGACTGACTCTTGATCTTTCCACAACAAAACAGTCTCAAACTGTGTGGCCTAAAAATGATTTTGTAAATATTAGAGATGGGTGTTGAACAAGAACAGACATTATTTAAATCTAAAGACTAAATTCACAGAATGGGACCCTAAAGTTGAAGATACCCAGAAGATAATTTCAGCTAGTTTTGTCAAACTCTTTGACTGCAATCCCTAGTATTTTACATAGCATCCCAGTACATGCATATCCGTCTGATATCTAATTGAAACAGAAGTTTCACAAAACAGTAGGTGTCCATTACTTTGTGGAATGCATTCTGATTTTCCCATTGCTGATTGCAAACCACTAAATGGATTAGACTACCCACTAATGAGTTGCAGGTGACAAGTTTGAAAAAAACAATGCTCTAGGGCAACCTGACCTGATGCGTTAATTTATGAGATTTTATTTTTTATAGACAGACTAGATTGTCCAAATGAGTATTATTACCTTAACTACTATTGTGCTGTATTACAGTTGTTTCAATGATTATTGCATTTTTCAAAACCATTTTTAAAACTCTGTTTGGAATAGTTGGAATAACCTGAACACATTTAATATCCTGTTTTGGTAAATTTTCATCTCCAAGATTAAAATTTTTTAACCAGCCAACAGATGTTTGAAGGCAAGTTAGGAGATATGATGGATACTGGATACAGTATCCATCCATGTACTAGATACAGTATCTGTCCATGTACTGGATACAGTCGTACTGTTAGTAAATTTTAGATACATAAAATAAAACAAAATGCAGTATAAACAGTTAATATTGCTAGTGTTGATTTTGTGATTAATCTCAATGAGGTTAATTACTGCATATTCATAATTCTGTAGGTACACAAGAATATTTGGTAAAAGATTGATAGTTGAGAAAATGCTAGACACTAAAGTTTGATAACTTACAATTTAAGAGTAAGGGCCGGGTGCGGTGGCTCACGCCTGTAATCCCAGCACTTTGGGAGGCCAAGGTGGGAGGATCATGAGGTCAGGAGTTCGAGACCAGCCTGACCAACATGGTGAAACCCCGTCTCTACTAAAAATAAAAAATGTAGCCAGGTGTAGTGGCACCTGCCTGTAATCCCAGCTACTCAGGAGGCTGAGGCAGGAGAATCGCTTGAACCCGGGAGGCGGAGGTTGCAGTGAGCCGAGATCATACCATTGCCCAGCCTGGGCAACAGAGTGAGACTTCATCCCAAAAAAAAAAAAAAAAAAAAAAAGTAAGGACATGAGTAAGGTTATGTCTCACCTACTTTTAAGGAAATGTGAATATAAGATGGGTTCTAACCCATTAAAAGGTGGTAATTTGTACTAAGTCCTATTGTGAGAGATTATAAACTGCTTTACTATTCAATGTACTTTTCTTAATTGAAATATTTTACTTATGACAGTAGATATTAAGACTTAACTCTTGAGTTTCTATTCTAATAAAAATAAAGGACTACTAATGGACAATTTTGAGGTCAGACTTCTACTCCATTGTTTTTGCTGAAAGTATTTAGCTGCTTTTCCATGTCCTAACTGTGTAGTCCAGACTTGTTAACACACAAGTAATAAAATCTTAATTAACTGTATGTTAATTTTGTAATAAATCAGTAAAGTTTGTAAGCTTTTTACTATGCTGGTATCTTTTGTGTCTTTTTCATTATCATTAAGACTGAATCTTTGTCTTCACTGGCTTTTTATCAGTTTGCTTTCTGTTTCCATTTACATACAAAAAGTCAAAAATTTGTATTTGTTTCCTAACCCTACTCCTTGTTTTTATTTTGCCTTTTTCTTGATACTAGCAGTCATCTTCTTTTCATGTTTGTCTTTTCAATCACTAGCTAGAGATGATCGCTATGGAAAATCCTGCAGACTTGAAGAAGCAGTTGTATGTGGAATTTGAAGGAGAACAAGGAGTTGATGAAGGAGGTGTTTCCAAAGAATTTTTTCAGCTGGTTGTGGAGGAAATCTTCAATCCAGATATTGGTAAATAGTTTAGTAATGTGATTATGGTGTCATATTGTCTTTTTGAGTTAGTTATTTGTTTATCTTAGTTGATAAATATTCTCAGCTATGAAGAGCAGCAAAAGAAGGATTTGGTATGGATTACCCGGAATCACACATCATGACTGAATTTGTAGGTTTTAGGGACTGATTTGTGTCACTAATTTATTCAAATTCTTCTATTTCTTAGAAGGAATATTCTAATGAAGGAAATTATCTCTTTGGTAAATTGAATCGAAAGCACTTTAGAATGGTACGTTGGAACAGTTGGAGGGATTTCTTTGCTTTTTGTTGTCTAAAACCATCATCAAACTCACGGTTTTCCTGACCTGTGAACTTCAAAGAACAATGATTTGAAGAGTGTTGAGAGACTATCTCACAAGTATGTCATGCTCAAAGTTAAGAAACACTAGCTGATATCACATGAAGGTTTATTTGCTATGGGATTTATTGGGGCTTAATATAGGTAATGTTTCCCCCAAACTTTTTGAACTCCAGAACTCTTTTTCTGCCCTACCAGAAGAGTTGTTGTTGAACACAGTTTGGGAAAGGCTGATGGGATATGGACATTTGAAAGTGAAGGATCAGAATTTTAGTTTTTGCCCTTTTGTGATAAAGTAGAACAGGGAAAAGATGCAGTCTTTTGGGTAGTCTACTTAACTGCATAATTCTCAACTGGTTTAGTTTCTACTGTAAATACAACCACTTAGTAACTGAACTTTCTTACATTTAAAATTGAGTACATGACAATTATAGGAAAAAGTTTCCACTGAAGGTACCATCAGAATTGTGAGGAGTATGCGTAGAATAATGTATGTCATTTCCCTTCAGCTTTGAGATTTGAGCTGTTATAGCCTGTTGATTCTAATTGAGTTGACCTTTCTATTACTGTTCTTAGTCACACACACACACACCCTTTATCTATAGTCTAGCTAGTGTTTTATTAATAACTAAAAAACTATGCCATTTGTATGTAGTTTGTTCTAAGTAAATCAAAGATACATAAGACCGTGCCCTTTTTTTGAGATACAAAATTATAAACTTCATAAGGTTCTTAAATTTGGTAAACCTTAGCTCTAGCTTTTGATGTATCTAGAAATGTTAAACCTTAGCTATAAAGCATACTGCATTATATGCAGAAATACTTGTAAGAAAAAACATAGATTAAGCAGTTCCAGTAAGGTAACTGAAGTGATGGCAGTAGATGTATCAAAAAGGAATATTTTACAGGAGGTTATGGTGCTTTTCTCCCTGGAACATGAGAAAATGTGCCTAAAATAGAACTTCAGAGTTATATTCTGATTAACTTATAGCTTCTAACTCTTGGTTCCAAGGAAGGGCATTTGTGACATTTTATCAAATTCATTAATTTTTTAGACACACCATTGCCAACTTGAACAAATTTATTAATTGTAATTACTTGTCAGCTGTTCTTGATCCTGTTAATACCACATTTATAACTGAAAGCATTTCCATGGATATTGTAACTTGGCCTGTAAAAAATGTTTAGATAGAAACCATGAAACTCAAATATGAATTGTTTAATTTTCAAACCATTTTGCATTCAGAAAATGTCCTAGGCTTAATTCATGCATCTAGTGATCGAGGAAACATGTTAAAGCTCCATATTTTTAAACTTAAAGTGATAATAACATTTTCAAAGATTTTAAAATTCTTAAAAACTCTCGTTAAAATACTTATATACTGTATAATTTGATTTCTGATTTCTAAGCTCCACTTTTCTATTGGAAATTACAGATTTTTTTTCAGACTTAATTCTTAAGATGTTTTCATTGTTTCACAGTAGAAACTAAACATTTAGTAAAATGAAAAAATTCTAAATTCAATTAAAATTTCTTTTCCCTAGTCATTTAAAAGGGAAGAAATCAATTTTTAGTAGTACTCATTCAGATAAAACCAAAGATTCCAATTTTCCTTTTTTTAAGTCTTATTTTTTGGTGGAGGGAGGCAGGATCTGGCTCTGATGCCCAGGCTGGAGTGTAGTGGCTCTATCTTGGCTCACTGCAACCTCCACCTCCCAGGCTCAAGGCTCAAACCATCCTCATGCATCAACCTCTCAAGTAGCTGAGACTACGGGCGCATGCTACCACACCCAGCTTATTTTTGTGTTTTTGTAGAGATGGGGTTTCGTCATCTTGCCCAGGCTGGTCTTGAACTCCTGAGCTCAAGTGATCTGCCTGCCTCAGTATCCCCAAAGTGCTGGGATTACAGGTGTGAACTACCACACCCGGCCCCAATTTTCCAATGAGTGATATAAAAAAGGCCTCTACGCAGACGCCTGTAGTCCCAACTATTCCGGAGGCTGAGGCCAGAGAATGGCATGAACCCGGGAGGTGGAGCTTGCAGTAAGCCGAGTTCGCACCACTGCACTCCAACCTGGGCGACAGAGTGAGACTCTGCCTCAAAAAAAAAAAAAAAAAAGGCCTCCGTGATTGAGGATTGCATAGTGAAGACCATGTGAAATTGAAAGACTACTAAACTACTATTCTTTTTACATATTAGCCCATAATTAATGTGTATTAAATAGCTTTGTTTATCTAAGTTCATCAGATTTATCCAAGTTTATGTATTTTAGATCATTTGATTTTATTAGGAAAATGCTAGAAAAATTTCATGGCACCATTGTCTGATTTTGAAAAAACAAACCTTTCCTTACTGTGATTAAAAATTGTTTTTTAGGCCAGGCGTGGTGGCTCACGCCTGTAATCCCAGCACTTTGGGAGGCTGAGGCGGGCAGATCACGAGGTCAAGAGATGGAGACCATCCTGGCAAACATGGTGAAACCCCTTCTCTACTAAAAATAAAAAATTAGCTGGGCGTGGTGACGCACGCCTATAGTCTCAGCTACTCAGGAGGCTGAGGCAGGAGAATCTCTTGAACCTAGGAGGCGGAGGTTGCAGTAAGCTGAAATCGTGCCACTCCAGTCCAGCCTGGGCGACACAGCAAGATTCCATCTCAAGAAAAAAAATAAAAAATTGTTTTCAAAAATAGTACGTGTAGTACAAATATAAGTAATTATATTTTTATAAATGAAACACTTTCAAAATATAGCCATTTTTTGGTTTTTTTATGTTTATTTTTCAGCTATGGGTGGATAAAGTATGAATATAACTTTTCTTATGTTACAGTAGAAAATTAGAAAGCTTGAATTTAATGAACGTATTTTTCTACCCGATGCCACCAAATTACTTACTACTTTATTCCTTTGGCTTCATAAAATTACATATCACTATTCACCCCAATTTATAACAGTTAGATATATGTGGACATTGTTTTCTCAAGTGCTAATATAATAGAAATCAATGTTGCATGCCTAATTACATATATTTTAAATGTTTTATATGCATAATTATTTTAAATTTACATTTGTGTTATTCCTTAATAAAATACAAAAGTAATGTATTTTAAAAAATCATTTCTTACAGGTATGTTCACATACGATGAATCTACAAAATTGTTTTGGTTTAATCCGTCTTCTTTTGAAACTGAGGGTCAGTTTACTCTGATTGGCATAGTACTGGGTCTGGCTATTTACAATAACTGTATACTGGATGTACATTTTCCCATGGTTGTCTACAGAAAGCTAATGGGGAAAAAAGGAACTTTTCGTGACTTGGGAGACTCTCACCCAGTAAGTTGTCATTTTTTAATTCAGTCTCTTAGATTTTATTTAAATGCAAAAATACAATTTATTTATATCAAAATTTTAAAGTTTTTGTTTAGAATCTTTGTTGATACTTTTATCAATAAGATAATGTTTTAATCTGACCGAAGTACGACAAACACTTAAAAACTCAAAGGGGGACATTTTTATATATTGCTGTCAGCACAAAGCTTTTTAAAGATTGATTCCATAGAGAAGTGTTTCTAAACATTTTGTTTGTGCTTTAATGAAATCTTAAGAGATAGGTAAAATCAGAGCAGCCCTGGCTAAGGGTCTTGGTAGCTACAATGAGTGTGCCTGCTGCCACCCCCACCCCCACCTTGAGACACCACAGAATTTCTTATAGAGCACAGTGTGAAATCTGTTGCTAAATTGGTGGTGTGGAGTTTCTCAGCAGAGAATGGAACATCACAGTGACTGACAGTCTTTCTTTTATAGGTTGGAAACTATTTGGGGGACTGGAAGGATACTGTCTACACTTTTTACAATTTTTATTGATAAGATTTTTGTTATCTTCTAAGAAGAGTGATATAAATTATTTGTTGTATTTTGTAGTTCTATGGTGGCCTCAATTTACCATTTCTGGTTGCTAGGTTCTATATCAGAGTTTAAAAGATTTATTGGAGTATGAAGGGAATGTGGAAGACGACATGATGATCACTTTCCAGATATCACAGACAGATCTTTTTGGTAACCCAATGATGTATGATCTAAAGGAAAATGGTGATAAAATTCCAATTACAAATGAAAACAGGAAGGTAATGTTTTTATGTCATGTTTTGTCTCTAACAATTTCAAAGCATGTATGCTTATAATTTTTAAAGAAGTATCTAATACAGTCTGTACAAAAAAAAACACACAAATCAAGTAACCAAGTTTATGTAAATGCTAGAGTCCAGTTTTCTAAATCTTGAATATAAGCTGGTATGAAAGCACACAGTTGGGCACTAAAGCCCCTTTTAGAGAAAGAGGACATGAAACAGGAGATAGTCAATAGCTAAGTGTGGTTGTAGGATAAAGCAAGAAGCAGGGTGTTTCCTGTATTAAGCTGTAAACAGGAACCTCATGATTAAGGTCTTTATCACAGAACAAATAAAAATTACATTTAATTTACACATGTACATCCTGTTTGTGATATAAGTACATTTCTGAAAAGTATTCTTTACATTAGATTTGGGTTTCTGTCGACTAAAATGTGTTCATCTGGAATGGGAATAACCCAGAACATACCAAGGAAAAAATTATGACAAATACATAGTATACCTTTAAGAAACATATTTATATTGATATAATTTTTTGATTAAATATTATACACACTAAGGGTACAAAGCACATTTTCCTTTTATGATTTGATACAGTAGTTTGTGTGTCAGTCAGTAGTTCCACATTTTTGCTGAACTGGATACAGTAGGCAGCTTACCAAATATTCTGTGGTAGAAAACATGGGACTTCCTGGTTTGATTAAATCAAATACATGATACTCTCTTAAAACGGTGGCATTTATAAATAGATGGGTACATGATTTAAATGTGTCTGTCTGCATACCTAGTTGAGCGAACCTAAAGAATTTTCTGTGTCTCCAGCATTTATATTCAGTTCTGTTTAATACATTGTCAAAATTGACATTTATATGTATGACAGTTGTATGTATATGGCCTTTTCATAGTTTAATATTGGCCATAACAGAGAATTGTGAAATTGTAAGAAGTAGTTTTCTTTGTAGGTGTAAAATTGAATTTTTAAGAATATTCTTGAATGTTTTTTTCTTGGAAAAATTAAAAAGCTATGCAGCCCAATAACTTGTGTTTTGTTTGCATAGCATATTATAAGAAGTTCTTGTGATTAATGTTTTCTACAGGAATTTGTCAATCTTTATTCTGACTACATTCTCAATAAATCAGTAGAAAAACAGTTCAAGGCTTTTCGGAGAGGTTTTCATATGGTGACCAATGAATCTCCCTTAAAGTACTTATTCAGACCAGAAGAAATTGAATTGCTTATATGTGGAAGCCGGGTAAGAAAGCAGGTGTCTGCAGAAAGTCATGTATCAATTTATTGTTTGTAATGATACAGTAGTATAGCAGATACTAAGACATATTTTCTTAAATTTGCAGAATCTAGATTTCCAAGCATTAGAAGAAACTACAGAATATGACGGTGGCTATACCAGGGACTCTGTTCTGATTAGGTGAGGTACTTAATTCTTCAAAGGAAGATTTGATTCACCAAAGGGGTGTGTGATTTTGCTTCTGACCTTTATCTCTAGGCACTAATTCCCAAATAAGCAAACTCACAAATTGTTATCTATACACTTAGATTTGTGTTTGTAATATAATCACCGTTTTTCAGAGCTAATCTTGTGATTGCTTTCATGAATGAAGTGTTGTTATATGTAGGTCTCATGTGTTCTCCTGCATTTGGGGTATGGATTATCTAGTATTTCTCACTGGCTAAGAGTATGCTTACTGCTGGTTAGAAGATAATTCAAATAAGGCTACCACTTCTGCATATTTTTCCTTTCTGTTGAACTCTGCATTTGTGAACTACATGGCTACCCAGGATCAAGCACCTTTTGAGTGAAATGGTACAGTCTTTTATTTAATTCTTAAGATAATATGTCCAGATACATAGTAGTATTTCCATTTTACACCTTAAGAAACTGAGCTCTGAATTCTCACAGAAAGATGTAGAGGCTCCCAATTCTATCTGCTTTTAAGCAAATGCCCTTGCTACTGTACTGTCTACTTCTGTGTACTATGCCATCCAATTCTGAAAGACATAGGCTTCCCTATCCCCTACTGAGACTGGTTCAAGAGACAAAAATACCCTTTTGGCAGCCACTGATGGATTGCAGTGAGAAGGTATGCAAACAGGTACCTTCCTGGAAGTTGTCTCCCAAGGCTATTGCTCTAAGACTCAAGTATATAAACACTAGAATGAATATCAACTCTAGCAGTAAATGTTATTTTTATATTACAGTTGACCCTTGAACGATGCAGCTGTGAACTTCATGGGTCCTCTAACATGCAGATTTTTTTTCTCAACTAAGGGCCGATCCAGTATTGGTGGGACTCAGAAGCTGCATATACAGAGGGCTGACTTTCATACACACCAGGTCCGCAGGGCCAACTGCGGAACTTGAGTGTGCATGGATTTTGGTATACACAAGCAGTCCGGGAACCAATCCCTGTCACGTATACCAAGAGATGGCTGTATGTTACGTTATATTCATTTGTTCTGTTATTTTATAAGGTTCTTCATTGTAGTTTGTGGGAATTCACCAGTATTTCTTCTTTTTGGTGCACCTTTGGTCATTTCTGGCAGCAGTGGTAAATGTATTTACTCTTAGCAACCTCTATGCTGCTACCTATTCAGTTTCAAAGGTGATTCATTAAAGGGCACAAGGAGTATAACAGCAATATCTCTGTAATATGATTGATCATAGATATAATTTCTAGTAGTTATGAAGTCATATCTTGATGCATCTCTGAGAATAGTTGAACATATCTTGTGCTATTCTTTATAGAGAAATTATCTTTGAAATTAAAGTCTTAATTTTATTTCTAGCTTTTTATAACAACATAATCCCTACTTGATGTGTATCTTAAGGTCATTTTTAAATATATGATTTGAAGGGCAAGCTAGTGTTATGTGAAAAATGACAGATAAAGTAGCTTCCAACTCATCATCAGAGTTGATGATATTCTAAACCTTTTCTAACTAAATTCAGCGTAATTTTCTCAATATAAATATGATGAAAATATTAATTCATTAAATAGTCTACAAGTATTCGGTAGTTGAAGACTTAAAATAGTGCTTGTAATAACAGGAGAAAAAGGACAATACAGGTATATCTCACTTTATTGCACTTTGCAGATACTTTGTGATTTTGATGGCAACCCTGCATCAAGCAGGTCTGCCAGCACCATTTTTCCAAGAAAATGTGCTCACTTCATTAGCATTTTTAGCAATGATTTTAAATTAAGATAATGTACTTATTTTTAGGCAATGCTGTTACACACTTGACTACAGTATAGTGTAAACATAACTTCTGTAAGCACTGGGAAACAAAAAAATGTGTGTGACTCACTTTACTGCCATAATCACTTTATTTGCCATAGTCTAAAACTGAACTGGCAGTATCTCTGGGGTATGCCTGTATAGATATTTTGGTTGGTATTATTGTTGCAGAATTCATAAAAATAACAGCGAGGCTGCTTAATATATTTCAGCTAAAAATTGCCAGCATAATTAATAGTAAACCACTAGAAATAAGATTTTGTTAATTTTTTTTTTTTTTTTTTTGAAACAGTCTTGCTCCGTCATTCAGGCTGGAGTACAGTTTGGCGTGGTCTCAGCTCATTGCAACCTCCGCTTTCCGGGTTCAGGTGATTCTCCTGCCTCAGTCTCCTGAGTAGCTAGGGTTACAGATGCACACCACTACGCCTGGCTAATGTTTGTATTTTTAGTAGAGATACGGTTTTGCCATGTTGGCCAGGCTGGTCTCAAACTCCTGACCTCAGGTGATCCGCCCGCCTTGGCTTCCTACAGTGCTGGGATTACAGGCGTGAGCCACCGTGCCTAGCAAAATCAACTCTGAATCTGAATCAAACCTTTGAAACAAAAATTACCAATCAAAAAAACATGCAGTCCCTGCCCCTAACTTTGAAAACGTGACAAGGAAGGACATTTGGAAAGATGTCTCTAAGCAGTCAACAAGAAATGAAATCAGCAACTGAAAAATACATGCAAGAAAGCCCGAGGCGGACAGTTCACCCGAAGCCAGGAGTTTGAGATTAGCCTGGCCAACATGGTGAAACCCCGTCTCTACTAAATATACAAAAATTAGCTGGGTGTGGTGGCAGCCACCTGTAATCCCAGCTCCTCAGGAGGCTGAGGCAGGAGAATCTCTTGAACCTAGGAGGCGGAGGTTGCAGTGAGCCTAGATCACGCCACTGCACTCCAGCCTGGGCAACAAAGTGAGACTCTGTCTCAAAAAAAACGAAAAACAGATTCAGACTTTATTTCCTTCCCAAATACTTCATAGATGTTGGTTTACAGGAATAACTTAAAGTCTCACTTGCTTTCTGTCTTTTCTAGTAATTTTTATCATGGATTCTGATTGCCTAGATCTGCTAATTCATTAAGGGTTGCAAAATTGTGATATTTGAATTCTTTATTCCTCCTTCCTTTATTACCTGTAATACTTCTTAAGAAAAACTCTTTCTCATCAACTCTATGACTACCCTAAATTACAGATCCACATATAGGACCTGTATACATGTATATAAATATGTACATATCAGATACAATAATGCTTAGTTCTTTCCCATTATTTACTAATTTTCAAAATAATGTGATTCCCTAACTGCTCTCTAAATGTTAATCAGTGTGGTGGTAATAATGGTGGTGTCGATGTTGTGTGGGGTAAAATTTTAATACAGTGAAATACCCAGGGCTTAACTGGGTTCATTTTTAAAAATTACGTTTATGTAACCATATTTCAGTCAAGGTATAGACTATGTCCATTAACACAGAGTTCCCATGTTTTCCCTTCCAGTGAATCTCTGTCCCCCATTAGAACAGACAATAACTGTCCTAATTGCTGTCACTGTACATTACTTTTGTCTGCTCTAGAATTTCTTATGAATGGAATCTTATATACTTGTACTGCATTGAGACTCTTTAGATTCATCCATGTTATTGCATTGATTTATAGTGCCTTTAAAAAAATTATGGAGTACTGTTGCATTATATGAATACGCAAAATGTGTTTTTTTACCTGTTGGTAGACAGTTGGATTGTTTCCAGTTTGGAACTATTGTGAATAAAGCTGTCTAGTCTTATTGTGGAAATGTTTTATTTCTCCTGGGCAAACGTGTAGGAGTGGAGTTTCCAAAGCATATAGTAGGTACATATTTAACTAAAAGTGTCTTTTCCTCATTTTTAATATTGGATTTTTGTATTTCTATTGACTATAGATATTTTCTTAAAATACAGCATTATGCCTTATCTTTAGTTTGCTTTTTTTTTGGTTTCAGTTATCTTTGATCAGCAGTGGTCCAAAAATATTAAGTAGAAAATGCCATGAATAACTCAGAGTTTTTGATGTGTGTGTGTGTTGGTGGGTGTGGGTTGGGGAGGGGAAGGTTGGTTGGTTGGTTGGTTGGTTTTTTTTTTTTAAGAGACAAAGTCTCTATCATCCAGGCTGGAGTGCAGTAGCATGACTGCAGGTTATTATAAACTGAAACTCGTGGGCTCATGCAGTCTTCTTACCTCAGCCTTCTGAGTAGCTGGTACCACAGTTGTGCAGCTAATTTTTAGTTGTTTTGTTTTGTTTTGTTTTGTTTGTTTTTGTAGAAACAGGGTCTCACTGTGTTGCCCAGGCTGGTTTCAAACCCCTGGACTCTAGCAATCCTTCCACCTCAGCCTTCCAAAGTGCTGGGATTACAGGTGTGAGCCACTGCGCCCAGCCAACAACTCTTAAGTTTTAAAATACATGCTATTCTGAGTAACATGGTGAAATCTCCCACCTTTCCACCCAGGGTATGAATTATCCTTTTTCCAGTATATCCATGTTGTCTAGACTACGCACCACTTTGAGTCTGTTGGTCAGATCGACTGTTGCAGTATCGCATGCTTGTGTTCAAGTAACCCTCATTTTACTTAATAATGGCCCTGAAGCACAAGAGCAGTGATGTTGGAAATTCGAATATGCCAAAGAGAAGCTGGGGAAAGTGCTTCCTTTAAGGAAAGAATTTAAAAAATCATACGTTGAGGTTGCTAAAATCTATGGTAAAAATGAGTATTTATGAAATTGTGAAGAAGGAAAAATAAATCATGAATGGTATATACAGGGTTTTTGCAATTTCAGACATCTACTGGAGGTCTTGGAAAGCATTCCCCATGGGTAAGTGGGGAATACCGTATGTTCTATATAAAAGGCCCATTTCTGATACGTAGTTTATGATTATTTTCTCCAAGTCTGTGGCTTCATTTTCTTAAGTGTATTCTGGTGAGCAGAAATTATTAATTTTTGAAGTCTAATTGATTTTTTCTTTTATATTTTTTTGTCCTTTTATATCTTTGCCTAGCCCAAAGGCACAAATATCTTATTTTTTCTTCTAATACTATAATATAGGTTTAAATTTTATGTGTAAATCTGTGATCCACCACCAGTAAATTTTTGTGATGCTGTTAGATAGTGGATGTCATTCATTTTCTAAATAGTTTTATTTATTTGTTCCAGTACCATGTGTTAAAGAGACTTCTCTTTCCCCATTGAATTGCTTTTGCACCTTTGTTGAAAATCAGTCTGTGTGTGAGCCTTGTTTCTGGAATCTCCATTCTGTTCTATTAATTTGTTTGGTCCTTTTGCCAAAACGACACTGTTACAGTTACTGCAGCTTCAAATCAGATGCTGTGAGTCCCACAACTTTTTCATTAGGTTGCTTTGACTCTTTTATTTGCATATAAATATTAGAATCAGTTAATTTTTACAAATGGAAAAAAGGGCAAAGCCTGCAGAGATTTTGATTTGGGTTGCTTTGATCGGGGTAGGTCAATTTGGAGAGAATTCACATTTTAACAATATATTCTTCCAATCCTTGAACACCGTACCTCTCTCCATTTATTTAAATGTTTGTTAGTTTATCTCAGCACTGTTTTATAAAGTTTTTAATGTTGAAATCATGTACTCTTTGGTTAGGAATACATTTAAAATATGTTTCTAATGCTGTTAGTGGTATTTTTAAATACTGCTTTTCACTTGTTTTTTACTACTATATTGAAATAAAATTGATTTTTATATATTGACCTTGTATCCTATAACCTTTCTAAATTGATGTATTCTAGTAGTTATGTAGTAGATTTCATAGGGTTTTCTGGTAACCAGCTATGTCATCTACAAATCAAGACAGGTTTCTTTCTTTCCAATCTTTATGTGATTTATTACTGTTCCTCTGTTGCATTGGCTAGAACCTTCGGTAGAAGGTATTCTTACTTTATTCCTCATTTTATTGAGAGAGACTATAATATTTACCATTAACTGTGATGTTAGTTATAAACAAAAAGTTTGTATTTCTCTGGGATTAAATACCAAGAGTCCATTTGGGTTTTTTTTGTGTATTTTCTAGGTATGTTCTTCCTTCATTGAATTGTTTTTTTCACATATGTTAAAAATCAGTTGAGAATATGTATATAGGTCTGCTTC